TTAGTGCAAACATGTTGCTAAGAGCAACACATGGAAATATTGGGTTTCTTTTTTTTTCCTTTTTGAGGAGTTTTGTAGAAAGCGGGCCATTTCTAATGACAACATCTGTCAGGGTACAAAACATGACCACTCTGAAACCATCTGGTTTCTGGTTACATAATGAAGAATGAGAGAGGTGGGAGGACTTTGGCAACTTTTTTTTGACACTGAAGCCAATAATGCATGTAATTGAACTGAACTGGAGAGAGAGAGAGAGAGAGAGAGAGAGAGGGTGGGATCAGGATTCAAAACCACTATGGCAATAGTCAGTGTTGTCTCTCTTCTGATTGCATATCAAGGGAGTGAGAACACAATCAATCTGTCCCAAATCCTGCAGAGAGGCGCCCGAGGCTGAGAGTGCAGCAGAACAGACTGTGTGTGTGTGTGGGGGGGATTTGTAGGTTGAGTTGGGGAAGTTTTCATCTCTCTTTCTCACGCAGTTTCTCATAAGAAATCTGTCCCAACCTATCGAAACACACTGGGAGAGGACAGACATGCTCCAGGTCATTTTTTAGGTCAATAAGGTGCAAAGACAAGACAGGCCAGAGGTCAGAGGATGGGAGGCGGGTAAAGGACAGACAGAGTTATTCTGAGAGCTCGACACAGCATGTCAAGGGTTAGAGGATAAGTAGTAATGTTAGAGTACAAAAACACAAGAAAACACACATAAGCCTCTACTGCACGTCAGTGGTCAGAGGAGTGATATGCAAACTTATGCAGATGTGAGTACATTCATGGACAATCTCAGTCTTAATTTGAAATTAAATCCAGATGCTTTTTCTTTCTAAGGTTAGGTGGCGACTGAGAATTTTTTAATACAAGCTCACTCAGTAAGTAGCAAAATAGTCTTAGGTTTGTTCAAGAGTTTTGTTCATATCCCTCTGAGGATGGTTAGACAACATAATGACAAAATACTTGTTGAGTTGTAACATTGAAATCAAACATTTTGTTCACCTGTGGCCAGTGGACCTGGACTCAACGCGACCAAAAAAACAACAAACATTTGAACGCGTTTAAAACTATATCAAAATGCTCTACCCTTATCGGCATGCAAAGATTTTTTTTGTCACTACTTTTTTGTTTCAGCATTTTTTTGCAGTTTTTTCTTTTGTTAGTGTGTCCACGCTTCACTTTGATATCATGCAGTATAGACATGCAAAAAAGATAACATCTATTTCCACAAAATACATTTTCATTGTAACTATAAAAGGCTGTATTTAAGAATGCTATTTAGTCACATTTTCATTAGCATTATTATGCTAACCTATCGCTATATTAATTTGTCTTGCCCCAGAGTCATAGTGCTGTTGCATTCTGGGAATGTAGTTCCCAGAGGACTGGCTAACACTTGGCTAACATGGCGGCTCCCTCTGCTCATGGCAGGAACAGAGAGGACTTCAACAAACTGATACACTGAGGCGCTTTGTCCGTTAGTCTAGTTCTTAAAAACGGTCATGGGGACGACTCCCTGCCTATGTAAATTATAAATATGGTTCATTTGGCACTTTTCACATTTTCTTAATATAAAAGTATGTCTCCTCTTAACTAATTTAAATCAATACATTTACAGTTGTACTCTGTAACGACCTATTTTGGCACAGGTTTAACTTGTTCAGGTTAGAATTACACTATTAATAACTTACCATCAGCTTATAACAGAGCATGTATTACACTGCCACTTAAGTCTAGCCTCTCCAGCTAAAGGACAGATTTCGATATGTTTTTACGTTGTATTTTTAGTACATCAGTTATTATTAAATAGCAGCATTTTCCACAAATTAAACAATTTTGCTCATGTAAACCTATTCAGCATCTACAGGTAAATCCAGAAGCTCTCACAGCAGACAAAGGATAAAGGACAGGACAAGACAACACGCCACAAAGTATATTGCTTCCAGTACTCGTCACATTTTATCTCCATCACCTAATGTTAACTAAAGAGATTAACCGCTGTGTAAAAGACTAACTATAAGAGATCTTTGTCAAGATTAATTAGCCTAATGAGATGAAAAAGAAATCTGTCCTGTATTAATCTAAACAACTGGCACCTTTCTCAGGAAATTCGATGCAGTTTTCCACTGTAAACGTACTGTGCTGCATCCAAAGTAAGTCAGCGATGAAACTTCAGACAAATTGGACAACATACTAAACCTGTTCTGGTCAAGCTAAAGAACATCCCTTGGCTTTCCCTCAAATGCAAAGCAGGTTTATCCTAATGGAGGACAAACCAACACAACTAAGGCTGAAAATAGTGACTGTTTTCATTTCTTTTTATTTATTAATCTTCAGTCTTAAGTTTGATTAACTGAATTATTGTTGATCTTAGAAATGTCTCTAAAAAGTGAAAATAGTCTGTCACAACTTCCCAGAACTGTCTGTAAATTTCTTCCCTTGTCTAACCAACAATCTTAAACCCAAACATGTTCAGTTTACAAAGATATAAAGAAAGAAGCAAATCCTCCGATTTGGAAAGCTGTAGTCAGCAACCGCTTGCCATTTTGCTTAATAAATGACAAAACAAGCAATAGTCTATGCACCAAAACTTGACATAGGATGCACTAAGTTCTTCACTAAATGCATACAACACAGTACAGTTCTACAGTGGAACAAAAGCACACCAACCTCCTAGAGTCTTTATCAGGTTTTTGCCAAAAAATATCCAGAATAAATCCAGTCAAAGCCCATCAGTGACAATAAATGTATTTTCTAGCTATTCCAAATCAAAAATGTTTGTCTTCCTTGATATAAAATAAAATGCACTGGTCCAACCTACACATTAGCGTGCTGTGCCCTGTCAGCCTAAACTGTGACTTCCTCTGCAGGTGTGGTCGTTTTCTGATGGTGGTGCATCAGGGCGTCTCCGAGCCTCAGCTGCCCCAGGAGGCAAAAAGGAGAGAGACTCGATCTGTGGTGTTTGTCAGGGCAAGCAGCAGACATGCATTGATCGTTAACACCAGACATAATCACCCATGGAGCGATGTGGTAGGAGGAGAAGGGGTGTCAGGATGGTGGTGCACTGGAGGACTGAGGACAGGTGGGGAGGGAGGGTGAGGAGAGTGTGGATGGTGTTAGATGGGAGTAAAGAAGCCTCCTTACCAAGCTGTGGAGTTAAACCCTCACTGGTGCTCCAACAGAGAGTGACACATTCGATAGCACAGCGGAGGATTTTTGGTCAGATTGGTTTCAAAGGAATCAAAAAGAGGAGCTCCCTCCCCTCACCAGGATTTTTAAGTTGCTCAATAAATCAAATGCGCCCCTCTCCTCATTTTTGGCATTTTACATTCCATCACACTTCAGCTCCTGTCCAGAGACTTGCCCATTGGATGTGCAGTCACATTATCAATTTCAACTGTTTATGACAAAGACACAGCTGCAAAAGAAATGTGAATTTAGAATTTGTTCCTGTCTCTTTAATCTGGTACTGGACACCTAACACTCCCCCGACATCCCGCCCTCTAAATCCAAAACACTTTTCCGAGACAACGGGTAAGTAGAATCTAATTGATTGATCCTCTTCATCGACCTAGTCGCTTTCTCCTCCTTCAGTTTTCAGACATGACGTGCATTTCTGGTGAAGTTCTTCATATGCATTCTACATATATTTTATATATGTGAATTTTTTTCCCTGTCATACAAAAACCATCCAATCACAATGCCGTCTACAGCACATGTCCCTGACCTCATAGGCAGAGAGAACCACTCCCTCGCTTCACAGTGCATTAAGACAAAAATTCAGTGTACTCCGATTGTTAAAAAAAGTAATAATAATAATAACACGACAGAAACAAAAACAAAAAAGTGAAAAAACAAACAACATCTTCAACAGCCTCCTGGGTCTACAGTGGGCAGAAAACCTGTTGCCATGGGAGACCTGCAGTTTGCCAGAGGCAGAACTGAGCTCAGCTCCCTGGACGTAAAATCTCTCGTGTCTGCCCTTTACCTCATCGGCAGTCAGACGGTTGCTTGATAAGGGCAGAGATCAGTGAGGCTATTTTTCTTCTTAACTGATATGCATGCTGCCTTAAAATAGCAAATCTGCTAGCGAGGATTGCAGATTCAGCAGTGGACCCCGGACAAACAACGTTCCCTCGTCATGTTTCAGTGTTTTCTGTTACTTGATGTTTGCATTTCTCAGTAGTGCGCTGTGAGTCATAAGTGTTCTTGCTGGATCTAATCTGCGGTTCGAGTTCATCTAATGGTTTGGAAGACCACAGGCTGAGAAGCAGCATTTTGTCTGACGCCTATTCTCAGCTCAACTCAGTTATTGAGTTTCTCAGTTAATCATTTTAGTTACAATTTTGCACTGTAGGCAATTTGTAACAGGGCATTTTACTACAGATATAAAAGAGCTCATTTGGAGCATGAGCGAGGACAGACAGGTGTTTATAGCTGCTAAGGCGCTGCACTGCAGCCTGTGGTTCTTTCTAATCTAGAGGTCTCACTGCAGTCTGCATTATAGATATGGTGAATTCCCTTTTCTAGCACCAAATATGGCATCATAGTGTTTTGTTTCAGTTTGTATGTGTGTGTGTGCGTTCCCTGTTCTGCTCATTGACTGGATATATAAGGTTATCCTTCACTATAATGATCTTAATGCCTGGGGCGGCCTTCTTACTGGACTTAAATAAGACATATATTACACTATGTGACATTACTATTCATCTTCAGTACACTTAAATTAAAACAAAAGATTCAAATCAAAAATAGTCTCATTTACATTCATGTCAACCTGAATTCACAGATTAAAAAAAGGAACAACTCAGCTTTATATGGGTGAACTCATTAATAAATAACGACGATGGCGATGACTCCTATCGTACTAATCATGACAACATCATTAACAGAATTATCACAGCAGACTGCAAAAAATGCCATAGATCCTGTGTGTTTGCCGCAGCTTGCACAGTATCACTCTCGTCGTTTCTA